GAGGTGGGAAGCATCTAAAGATGAGAACATTCTCTGGTTTGTGGTCTGAATCCTGGCAGGCCTGGACTGTACCCGGGGGAGCTGTGGGCAGTGTCTGAGCAGCAGAGGAGCAAGGGCCTTGAAGGTACCAGGGGCAGGTCCAGGAAGGGGCCCGTTGGGGCTCTGACAAGAGCATCTCCACCAGAGCCAGGTAGGAGGCCTGACTGTAGGACTTCCCCCCTTCCTCCCTGCCTCTCCTCTCCACTCCCCTCCTGCAGTGCTGGGGCTGGTACCCAGGCCGTGCACGCTGGGCGGGTGCCGTGCCGCTGGCCCCTTTTTATCTTATTTGAGATGGGGTGTCACTGGGGATACCAGGCTGGCCTTGCTCGAGATCCTCCTGCCTCAGCCTCCTGAGTCACTGGGATGACAGGTGTGGCTGCTGCTCCTGGGTTTGACTCCAGAGCTGCGTGGTGGTTAGAGCTCCCACAGGGATGGGCAGCCTGCCCAGGAGGGTCCTTGCAGGGGCCTGCTGTCTTGGATGGTGGCTGTGTGGCGGTGTGGGCGTGAGGAGCAGTCAGGCAGGGTGGCTGTCTCCTGCCAGGGGTTTCCAGCAGGAATTCAGAGGCAGCCAGAGCTGGTCACTGGTCCCAGAGACGACCTGAGCTGGGCTGGGGAGCCCAGTAAGCCAGGCTGGTGAGGGCCAGAGTGAGGGCAGCCAGGCGGGGGCACCGCACGGTCAGAGGAGTGCAGGTGGGATGGCCAGACCTGCAGCCTCCTGGGGTGGATGGCGGCAGCCTGGGCAGAGTCTGGTGACCCCTGTCACAGAACGAGGAGGAGTGCCCTTCCTTAGTGTGCATGACTCTGACCAGAGCCCCAGGAAGGGGCCTCATGCTGCCCACGTGGGTGGCAGGACCACAGCCCAGCCTGGCCTGGCCAGGGGGAAGGTAGGCTTGGATGGGTCAGCCACACTGAGCTGCTCAGCCTGGCCGAGGCTCCAGTCCATGCCTCCTGACCCATGTCCAGTGTCCAGCTCACATTCTTAGTTCAGGGTGAGTGGCCCTGACCTGAAATTCCAAGATCTGCAGCCTCTGAGCACCCTCCCCGCCCTTGGTGGAAGCCCCACCCGGGAGTCAGGAAGAGCCACGGAGCTGACACTCCTGCAGGAGAGTCCCCTCGGAGGCCACAGCCACGGCCTGGCTTCTCCCAGCACCACGGGACAGGGCAGTGGTCCCCTTCGGGTGTGAGTCTGAGGCGTACCTGCAACTCGGGGGGCTTTGTGGGCAGCCCTGGGTCCCCCGGGAGGACGTGACTATCACTAGCCCCAATTCACAGCACTCTGTCACCCCCCGGCCCTGCCCCCCAGCCCTGCCCCGCGGCCCTGTCCTGGACCCTCCTCTCACTGTCACACGCGGTGCCCCGTGTCTGGTCTCACTGAGCACCAGGCCCCCAGGCCCGTCCACACTGCAGCAGTGCCACCTCGCTCCTGCTCACGGTGAGGACGCTCCAGGGATGGGCCACAACTTGTACCCATTTGTCCACCTGCAGATGCCTGGTGCTTTGTATCGTCACTCGCTGTCACTCGTGGGTGCTGGGCTGGGTGAGGACCCTGCCTTGGCTCAGTGTGAGCCGGACAGAGCCTCAGCAGGAAGATGTGGTGAAGGGCAGGTGGCCCTGGGGTGGCAGGTGTGTGGCAGGGCAGGGCTGAGGCCAGGGGCCCTTTGGTCGGGGGCTTCCTCTGAGATTGCTCACTGGCCCAGCAGACATTAAGTGCCTGCTGTGTGCCAGGGACAGCACAGCCCTGTCCTGTTGGGGAGACAGGAAGAAAGCAAGATCGTTGGGTTCCGCGGTTCTGGTCTGTGGTCTGGATCCTGTGTTCTTGGGTGGGCTGGGGGCTTGTAGGTGCTGGGGGCAAAACTTAGGTGGTCAGGGGAGGCTCCGTGAGGAGGTGGCCTCTGGGGAACAGCCAGGCCAGGGAGTCTGGGGAGGGCTGGCCTGAGGAGTGAGGAGGTGGCCTCTGGGGCTGGTCTCAGCCGGCTGCCCCTCCCTGCTGTGAGGGCCAGGGCAGGGTAGAGCTCCTCCCCACCCCATCCCAGGCCGGGGGCAATAGATTGGATTCTCTGGTCTGTGGCCTGCCCTGACCCCCTCTGCCCTGGGATGATGCTTCTAGATTTTTCCATGGGTGGTGAGTTGTTCTCACAGGTGTTGTGGGGCCCTGGGAACCCTCCTGAGGAGGGCTGAGGGGCCAGAGATCCAGGAGGGCTTCCCGGGAGAGGTGGCTGTGCGGCTGAGCTTGCAGGTGGAGGAGGGGAGGAGGAGGCTGAGCCCATGGGGCCAGGGGCAAGGCCCCGACTGAAAGAGCTGGTCTGGGGGAGGGGGAGGCTGGGGATGCAGCAGGGCAGGGGGTGGACACGGTCCTGGGAGTCCAGGGGGGACCAGAGAGGTGAGATGGGGCCTGCCCTCACCAGCCCACAGTGGGAAGGGGCTCTGGGCACCTCACTCCCCGGGGCCACGTGACTCTCCCACTGCATGGCCAAGGTCACTGTCAGCTGTTTTCTTTCAGTTAGCACAGGAATGTTCTGGACACTGGGCCCAGTGCCGGCCCTGGGATGGGACCCTCACATTCTTGCCAGCCTAGCGCTGCTGCCCGGGCCAGCCCTGTGGGGAGACGCACTACACCCCCACACCTCCAGACTGCCGTCCTGCCCGCTGGGTGACCTTGGGCCTGTGGCATGACCTCTCTGGACCTTTAAAAAACACGTGCTCTGCAAAGTGGAGGCCCCTGCGTGCTGTCCCTGGGCTGGTCCCCATTAGCTCATCTCCTGGAGCCTGGAGTATCTCTCAGCCTCAGTCCACACCCTCGAGTCCTGAGCCGCCCACAGCACCGCTCGAGCCCAGATTTTGCTTCAAGCGCCGTTAAAATAAGTGCGCGGACAGGACGCCTGCCCACGCGGATGATGGGCACCCAGGTGCAGCATCTTCCCCCAGCGGCTCAGAGCTGCTGCCCACTGCCCAGCGGAGGCAGGCGAGGCTCAGAGGCTGAGGAGTGGGTTGCCTGGGATCACACAGCCGGGGGCTGCGGCCGCTCTCTTCTGAATACTCGTGCCTTTAGCGAAACCAGCTTCTCCTCCGGCACTAAGACCCTTTGTGATGGGGCCCCGCCTCTCCAGGCCTCCAGGAGACCCCGCATCCGGGCCGTGGGGCGCCTGGCTGTGTCTGGCCCTGGACAGAGCCGGGCCTCGGGTCGCAGAGCCGCCTGGCCCCTCCACAGCCTCAGTCCCTCATGGGTGAAGAGGCGGGGCAGTGTCCTCGGGAGGCAGGGCGTCCCAGGAGGACAGCCTCACTTTACCGCACTAGTGCTCAGCGCCCTTTTCCTTTATCGATTGCCAGGGTGTGCAGATGAGGCCTGTAGTCTCCGCCTCGCTGTCTTTATCCTGCCCCTCGCCCCTCCTGGTAGATGTCGGAGGGGCCGGGAAGCCCACCCTTCTTGCAGCCCGGGGGTGGACAAACCCCGCACCCTAGAGGCAGCCCCTGAGGCCTCGGCAGGAAGCCACGCAGCCCCCCAGCCACATCTGGGGGCGGAGATGCTCGCGCTGGCCCCACCCCCGCGTGCCGGGCCTCCCTGTTGCCATGGGGACAGCGCGTTGCCAGGGCGACCGCCTCCCGCGGGCCCTCCATCCATCACCGGGGGCGCGGCGGCGGCGGCGGGTGGCTGTGGCGCCCCCAGGCTGGGGAGGGAGGGAGGGAGAGGGGCGCACTGTCTGGGCTCGCAGTCTGGGATGGGGACAGGGGTGGGGACTGGAGGGGAATGCGCTTCCCGGGCCTGACCTTCCCCTGCCCTGGCCCAGGGGACAGTCCGCCCAAGCAAGGACACTACCCGCCTTGTCTCCAGCCTGGCAAGCTGGCCGCACAGCCGTCCCTGTGTGCGCTCTGAGCGGCCACCTGACTGCCGACCTCGTGCGGCCCGTGTGCAGCAGGGTCTGAGAGGCCTGGGTAGGCCCCCCCCAGCTCTGCCTGCTGCACCACAACAGGAAAGGGAGTCTGCAGTGTGGCTCTCAGGGACAGTGACTGCTGGAGGCCACTCGGCCACCTCTGGTCTTGTCCTCTGGACCTGGTTTCCAGCCACACGGGACCCAGCAAATAGGAGGCAGCCCTGCTCAGGGGTGAGCTCTGCACAGCGTGTGGAGCCACATGACAGGAGGGCCGGCCAGAGGGGCAGGGTGGACAGGCCACAGAGGCTGGGCCCTGCCCGGTTCCATACTGGCTCCATCCTGGGAGTGACAGGACAAGCAGGCTTTGGGCAAGGGAGTGACGGGGCCTCCTTCTCATTTGAGAAGCTGCCTTGTTTGAGTGGGCCAGGCTAAGGCAGCAGGAGGTGTAGAGGCCTGGGCTGGCGCAGGGAAATGTGGGGCCAGCAGGAAGGGAGGAGAGATCTCTGGGGGGAGTAGAATGGGGACACCCAGCCTGCACCACAGCAGGGCAGGCCCAGAGCTGTAGCTGCCCCGGCTCTTCAGGAAGAACCTTAAGTCAGAAAACTGGATCAAACCTTTCCTGAGCCCCATCCGCCAAACCTGGCATCCTGAGAGGGAGATGGGAAGCCACAGATGGGCCCCTGGGAATCACTGGGAGCGGTAGGTGCTGCCTGCCAGGAAGGGAGGGTCTGGGCGGGGTCACCTGTTGGGCTGGGAGCAGGGCGACTCCACAGTCCTGGTGAGGCTGGGCAGGCCAGGGACCGCAGCTGGGCTGTCTGTCTGTCCCCTGAGCAGCCTCCCAGGCTGGGCTGAGGTGGAGCCAGCGTGGTGTGGGGCTTGGGAACTGTTCCCTGGCCCAACTCTGGGATATAAGGGGAAGTCTTGGGACTAGAGGTACTTGTCACTCCTCACTTGAGCACATGGGGAAACTGAGGCCCAGAGAGGTACCGGGCTCTTGGGAGGACTCTGGTGGGCGCCAGGGCTGACGTGCCAAGGGGGTTGAGGACAGCAGCAGGCCCAAGGACAGTCTTCAGTTTCTGAGAGGTTAGGGGTGGGAGGGGAGGACGGCAGTTGGGGGGTCTGTTCCCTCAGCGCCTGACTCCCCTGCAGCCAGGCCCGCCCGGGCAGCTGGCCTCGGGGCAGACAGTGGGACCCTACCTCAGGCCCAAGGCGGCTGGCTCTCTGGCTCCGCAGCAGCAGAGGCGACAGGCCACCAGCGTCCCCAACATTCACCAGGCTGCCACTGCAGGCAGCTTCCTGGCCAGCCAGAGCAGATGCTGGGCGGAGTCAGGGTCGGGGAGCAGGAGCTCCCCAGGTGTCCTCCAGCAGCTCAGAGCCCTGTCCCTGGGTGCCTGTGGCAATGTGCGCTTCTTGAGCACCTGCTGCACACCAGCCCTGGAGACGGCTGTGGAGGCTCCCTGACCAGAGCCAGGACTCGCGCTGTGCTTCGGTGTCACACCCTCTCTGGGCCTTCTACCCAGGGCAGGGGGCCGTCTGGTGGCTCCTTCACTCCCCTGGTTCCCCTCTGGGTGGGCAAGAGTCCTGACCCTGACCCCAGCCTGCTCCCTGCAGTGCCCTTCCCTGGCCCGTGTGTCTGGCGAACTCTTGTGCGTCCCCCGGCCAGGCTCACCGCCCCCCTTTCCCAGACCCATCGGCGGGCGGGGCTTGTCACCTCCTGTGCACCTCCCTCAGGCTGTCCCTCCCTTGGCCCTGCCCAGGGCGCTGGAGGGTTTGCCCAGTGAGTTAATGACCTCAGAGGCTGACAGAGTGACCGCTGCCTCTGAGGGGCAGGGAAGGGCCCACTCTCCAGAGGGGAAAGGGTCAGTAGCAAGACTCTGTCCCTGCACAAGGGCAGAACCAGGGGCTGGCTGGAAGCAGAGTGGACCAGCGTGACCTGTCTCACCCCAGGGTCCTCGAGGCGGATGCTTCAGCCCAGCAGGAGCGGCTCCAGGCCATTGCCGTGAGTCCTGCCCACCAGGGACGGGAGGCTGGGCACTGGGGGACGGGGGTCTTGGGCGGGACGGCAGGCCCAGCGCCATCCTCACTTCCAGAGGACACAGGCCTGCGGGGCCTCGGGGAGGGGCGTGGGGCCCTGTGGCCAGCCGGGCTGACCCCGCGACTCCCCCGACCAGGAGAGGCGGAGGAGGCAGGCGGAGATCGAGGGCAAGCGCCGGCAGCTGGAGGAGGACAGGCGGCAGCTGCAGCACCTCAAGGTCCGAGGGAGGGGCCTCGGCCATGGAGGCCGTGGGTGGCGACCCTGACCCCACTCCTGACCCTAAGCTTGAGCATGTGCCCAATGCTGACTGTGTCCTTGACCCCAGTCCTGACCTGACCCTGACCCTGACCCCTGCTGCACAGTCCAAGGCCCTGCGGGAACGCTGGCTGCTGGAGGGGACACCTTCCTCGGCCTCAGATGGGGAGGACATGAGGAGGCAGATGCAGGAGGACGAGCAGAAGGTTCAGCTCCTGGAGGGCTCCATCTCCAGGTGGGTGCCCGGGTCCATCTCCACGCGAGTTCCTAGGGTCCTTCTCCAGGTGGGTGCCAGGGGTCCATCTCCAGGTGGGTGCCCGGGGTCCATCTCCAAGCGAGTTCCTGGGGTCCATCTCCAACCGAGTTCCTAGGGTCCATCTCCAGGTGGGTGCCAGGGGTCCATCTCCAGGTGGGTGCCCGGGGCCCATCTCCAAGCGAGTTCCTAGGGTCCTTCTCCAAGTTTTTTAGGGTCCATCAATGTCTGGGGTCCATTTCCAGGCCCAGCTGGAGGGTCTGTCTCTGGGCGGGAGCCAGGGGTGGGGGGTCAGGTGGCACAGGGTCCTGAGCAGTCAGGATCACTGGCTCCAGGACCAAGGTTGGCCGAGGCATGGGCAGGGAAGAGCCCCGAGGGGCTGTCCTGAGGGTACATGGGCAGCCGTGGAGCAGCAGGCTTCGCAGGGGTCGGGGCCGTGGGGACTGAGGCTGCCCTGCTGGCCTCGGGGTAGGGACCCCCGCCCGGCTCTCAACAGCCCCAGGTGTAAGAGGCTGGGAAGGAGGCGGATGTGGCCCCAGCACAGGACTGCAGTTTCCTCCTGGCTCCCTGCGTTGTCCTGCCGGTGCTGGGCCCTGGGCAGCTAGGCCTGCAGGAAGCCCGGGGCGGGCGGGGCGGGCAGGATGGGGCCAGTGGCCTTCCCTGCTGGGACAAAGCGCCTGGAGTTTCCGGGCAGGCAGGAGTGACCGGAGTGATGGTGTCAGGGAAGAGAGAAATGACCAGAATCCCAAGTGTCTCCTCCACCAGGGGAGGGGCCTGAGAGGCGGCCCAGCACAAAGGCCCGTGCGCTGGACCTAAGCTGGCCAGAGTCCTGACCGACTGGTTTGAGAGGAAGCATGTGGGGGGATTGGCCCTGGGTGGTGGGTGGTGACGATAGGCATGTGGGGTCTGGTGAGTTGGGGGAGCTGAGGGTCCCCCCTCGCGGCCTCCTCCCCTCCCCAGCAGGGAGGCAGGAATCCCTGGGGCTGCTTCACTCAGCCTGGGGCTGGCAGGCGCCCCCTGCAGGCAGGAGCACAGCCGGGAGGCCCTGGGGGTCTTTGTGTCTTGGCCCTGGGGGCGGCCCTGGGGGTGGCCTGGGGGTGGCCCTGGGGGTGGCCTGGGGGTGGCTCTGGGGGTGGCCTGGGGGCGGCCCTGGGGGAGGCCTTGGGGGTGGCCTGGGGGTGGCCCTGGGGGCGGCCTGGGGGTGGCCTGGGGAGCGGGTGGCAGGCCTGAGCGGAGTCCCTGAGCGGCGCTGTGCTTCCCACCCTGGCTTGGTTTTCACTGGGTTTATTTGTACCATTATCTCCTGACTCTCAGAAAGTGACGTTTTTTTCCATTGTCCCTGAAGAGAGAGTGTTTCCTGTGGGGGAAAAAAAATGGATCTGAGTGGAAGGGGGGGGTCTGCAGCCAACTGTGAAGGGATGTGCCGAGCCAGCCCTGGGGCGAGTCCAGTGGCTCCTTGCTGGCCCGGGACCCTGTGCCGTGCCTCGGTTTCTCCGACTGTCAAGCGGTGTGATGAGAACACCGTGGTGCAGTCCTGTTAGGAAAAGTCAAAACCAGCTGGTCCTCGGGCAGAAAGTGCCAGAAGGGCCCCGGCACACAGAGGCCTTCACACCTGCCCCTCCTCAGGCTGGAAAGGGAAATCGATGTGCTGGAGAATGGGGAGCCGGCCCCTGCCCCCTTGAGAGAGGACAAGGCAGCGCCCAGTCCAGCCCGGACCCTGGCCCCAAGCCCAGCCAAGGAGCAGCCCCGGGGGGAGTTGGTGTGCAGCCCAGAACAGGTGAGATGATGAGTGGGCAGATCCCTGGCTCTGACCCCTTCCTCTGCGGATGCCCAGTGGCCCAAGCACAGATCCAAGCAGGTGCTGGGGTTTGAGGCCCAGCTGTGCAGCCTGGGACATGTTGGCCTCTCTGAGCCTCAGTTTCCCCGTCTGTAAGATGCAAGAGCTATTAGAATACTAGCTAGGGACATTACCAGGGCTCAGTGAGTGGTGGGCCAAGCCCTAGATGAAGCCAGACCCACAGGGAGGGAGGTTTTGATGTTTGCCCCCTGTCATTGCACCTACTGAGCCCCTGGCCCTGTGCTGGGCGCTCCGTGTGTTGGACAGCCCTTCCAGGGGGGAGCAGTGTCCCATTGGATGAGAGACAAACCCCAGGCCCAGGGAGGTTGAGAGAGCCTGGCCCCAGGCCACCATCTGGCTTGGCCTTTGCTTCTGGGATCTGCCCTGGAGCAGACATGTTAAGACAGACCTCCAAGTCAGGGTCAGCACCTGTGTACGTTGTGCCCCACGCCTCTCCCAGTGGGCTCAGGGGCCCTGGGGCCTGCCTCCTTCCCTGCACCCCTGTCTTGTGGGGTCAGTACGGCCCCTGACCCAGGGAGCTGCAGCTGTGTCCTGTTGGTCTGCCACCCTCCCTGCTGACCATGCCTGGTTTGGGAGACCAGGAAGAGGGAGATGTGGGACCCAAGGAAGCATGTGATTCACAAGAGGCTGGGCAGGCTTCCTGGGGGTGTGGGATCTGAAGGCTGAGTAGGAGTTCTGCAGGCAGACGGCACATGTGCAGGCGGGTGTCGCGGGAGGTGAGCACGCACTCCCGGCTGCCCCTGCTGCCGGCGGGCCTCCTGGGGAGAGGCAGACCCTGAGCAGGACCGCAACTTCAGGGGCAGTGAGCATGCCCAGAGCTCCTGCTCCTCCTCCTGGAGACCGGGAGCCGGCCCCTGCCCACTTGAGAGAGGGGGCTTGGTGGGAGGGCCAGAGACCCCGGAGCCCCTGTGGGGAGAGATGAGCAGCCTTTCAGGTGAGGCTTAAGGAGCAGCCAGAAGACGGCCGCTGGGCAGGGAAGACCACCCCAGAACTGGTCGGGAGTGGAGCCCTGGAGTGGTGGGGGACCAGAAGGCCTGGGCGGGGTGACACCCCCACTTCCCACGTTTCCGGCCCCAACGCCAGGGGATGTGACGGCCGGGAGAGACGGGACGGGAAACAGGCGCACCGGGTGGCGGACCGCCGCGCGGGCGCTGGCTGACCCTCTGCCTCTTTCTTGCAGACCCCGCCGGGCACGCCCAAAGGTAGGCGCGGGGCCCGCGCGCCCCCTGGCGGCGGGCGGGGGGCGGCGCGCTCTGCCTGCCGGGTCTCCGCTCGGTTTCACCACGCCCTCGGGAGGGGCCCAGCCACGGCCCTGCGGGCGGGCCGGCCTGTTCTTGGGTCTGTAACGTGGGGCAGAAATCCTGCCCTAGAGACCAAGGCCGCCGCGGGACTGAGACCCGGCCGTGGCGGGTGGGTCCCGGCTTGCTGAGGCCGTCCAGCCGAGCGTTCCTGCCACGTGGTGGCCGCTGCATGACAGGCGTGGGCCACTCACCTGCCATGACGCGGGACATAGTCTAGAGGTCAGCATGGTAGTGCATTGCGTTCAGTGAGTCCAAGCTCGGTGAGTTGTGAAACACCAGTCCCGTTTTGAAGCCTGTTTTAAGTGGGCCTGTCTCCCTGCAGAGCACAGGGCAGCCCCCCGTGGCCGGGGCAGCCCACCTATCTCAGGCCTGATTTGTGGTGTGTTAATTGATTATTCATGAGAAGAGGGTCTCCTTGACCGACTGTCGAATTAATAATTAAAGTAAATCCGTGCAGCCTCTCGGGACGTTGTGAAAGTCGTTTGAGCCGAGGCGTGAGAACCCAACCTGGCATTTCCTTTGGGGGGGGCTCTGTGTGCATCAGGGTCCAGGTGCATGGAAGGGGCCCAGGTATTGGGGGCCCAGTGCATGGAAGGGTCCCAGGTATTGGGTGCATGTACCTGCGGTGAGTTGAGCCTGTGGAGGGCTGTGTGACCTTCTCTCTCCGCCCTTTCTCCACCCTGCCTGCCCAGCCGAGAAACAGGTGTCCAACACCCCTGTGCGGACCATCGGAGGCTCCCCCATGGTGAAGGCAGGTGGGTGGTACCCAGGCTCCGGCCTTGTGTCCTGCCGCCGACCAGACCACAGCTCAGTCCTCGGGGCCTGGTGGGGTAGGGGTGACCCAGACCTGCCCTGGCAAGGTCGGAAGTGGGCAGTGGTCACGGGGGTGGTGTCTGGACTGAGGCTGAGGCTCTGGGCTGGGGGTGGGCCTCCTCTGCTTCGGCCCTGGGCCACACCCCGGCCAGGCTTCCCCAGGAAGGCAGGCCCCGCGCATGGCGACTTTAACCCAGTGCCCTGGCTTCTGTACCTCTTAACCTCAAGGTGGCCCCTGGGGTGGGGGGGGGGGCACAGGCCTGCACCCACTCCACGGCTGAGGACACTGGCTGCAAATCCCACTGGCCTCTGGGGCGTCGGGCAGCAGGACCGCGTGAGAGAGGGCACCTCATCCTGGAGGCAGCCCGGGGCCCGGGTTAGGCTCAGTCCTGTTTGGTTAGACACGGGGAGCCATGCTCCATCTGCCAGCCAGAAGGGGACTGAGCACCCAGGGCCTTGCACCCAGGGCCGGCCTGGTCCCACACAGGACTAGACAGTGACAAGTCCTGAGAAAACACAGAGAAGTTGTTGAGTTGGGAAGAGAAGTGAAGACCTATGAGGGGGACTAGGGTGTGACAGTGCCCTGAGAGAGGGGGTCTCGGGGAGGCTGACGTTCTCCTACATGGTGGCAGGAGGCCCAGGGGAGCATTTCAGAGTGCAGGGTGCTTTTAGGGCCTGTGCCCGTTAGACCAGCCCTGTGGCACCCAGGTGAGGTCCCCCCACTTTTTCCTTTGGCCCTTGTCTTTGTGCAGCGTGTAACCTGCCCAACAGTGTGGGTGGCCTGGGAAGTCGCTGTCCAGGGACAGGGATGTTAGGCCACTCAAGGACAAGAGATTAAATAACAGTCACTCGGGCGGCATTATCCAGTACCTGCTGTATGCCAGGCAGGAGGGACACAGAGTGGGGGCAACTCACTCTACAATTTAAGAACACAGAGCCAAGAACGTAGACTCACAGGGCACTGGGAGGACTCGGCCGAGGAAGGCTGAGGACCAGGGCAGGGGTGGCTGCAAGTCCAGGGCGGACGGTGGGACGACTGTGGAGGAGGTAGGATGTGGGAGGCTGCAGCCCCACTGGGCCAGGAGCCTGCAGTGGGGTGAGAGGGGCGAGGCCCAGAAGGACAGAGCCGCCCTGGCTGGGTGGAAGCCCAGGGGCAGATGCAGGGCAGGTGAGTGGGGCCTGGGCTCTGGGGGTGAGGGAGCTGAGGGCAAGGTCCTCCTGGAGATCAGGGCTGGGCCTGAGCACCAGAGGCCAGGTGGCAGGAGGAGACCCAGATGACCATGAGGGCTGAGGGCTTGGGGGTACCCCAGGTGAGCCAGGCTGAGGGACAGCAGGCTCGAGAGGCCCTGGGCCTTGGCTCTGGTGTCCCTGCAGGTGAGGTCTGCAGGCGCTGCTCCATGGCTCCAGCACTGGGCACCTTTCCTTCCTGCCTGGGCAGGTTGGGGGCCGGGGCTGAGGTCTGTCCAGGGGCAGCTGCTTCGAGGACCCTCCTCTCCACGGCTTCACAGAGCAGCAGTGAGAGGCTGGCTGCAGAGCCACAGCTTCGAGTTCTGACGTCCTGCAGCGTCACACTGCAGTCAGCCCAGTTGGTGGAGGAAGCAAGATGTGCAGAGGGTCTGGGTGGACAGAGGTCAGGCTGTGCTGGGGGCTGGGCTGCTGGGCCTCTCCCGCCCACTGCGCTCCCCGGGAGGGGGTGGAGCCTGGACGTGGAGATGAGCTTGGTGCCCAGCAGGGCTCCAGGTGCAGAGGGGAGGACCAGGGCCGTGGGGCTGAAGGCAGGATGGGCCTCCAAGGCCCAGCAGAGGGACTCGGGCCCAAGCCCCGGGCACTGGGAGGCCCGGGAGGCTGTGGAGCGGGGGAGGCCAGGTCCGCACGGCACACGGCACCCGGCACCCGGCACCCGTCTCTGCTTGGCTCTGCGCTGCCCCCCCCTGGCTTGGCGGCTGCCCCCAGGGCACGAGGGAGGGCGGGATCGGCATAACCCGTGCCTCTCGTGGCAGCCATGTACTCAGTTGAGATCACTGTGGAGAAGGACAAGGTGACAGGGGAGACCCGGGTGCTGTCCAGCACCACACTGCTCCCCCGGGAGCCGCTTCCTCAGGGCATCAAGGTCTACGAGGACGAGACGAAAGGTACGCCCCCGCCTGCCGGCCTCCAGCCAGCGCCGGGTGCAGGCCCCGGCAGGGCTCAGCACAGCCAGGCCCACGGAGCAGGGCCCAGTGCCCCCACCCCTGCCACGGGTTTGAGGTCCTGGGCCCTGGCTGTGGCCCACATGGTCCTTCCCTCAGAAAATGCTGTGGCCGGACCCTGTTGCAGACATGCGGCTGGAGTAGGAGCCCTCAGGAGAGTCCCCTTCCAAGCTCTGGGGGTGCGGCCCAGCCCCTCCAGAGCCCATTCGCTGCTCACTTATTTATTTTATTTTATTTTATTTAAAAATATTTTTGGTACTAGGGATTGAATCCAGGGGTGCTCTACCATAGAACCACATCCCAGCCCCACCTTTTTGATTTTGAGACAGGGGTTTCCCTAAGTTGTTGAGGCTGGTCTCAAACTTGCAATCCTCCGGCCTCGGCCTCCAGAGCCTCTGGGATTATTATAGGTGTGTGCTCTGTGCCCTGCTTCACTTATTTATTTTAATTGACTGATTAATGTGTTTATTTTGCAGTTCTGGGGATTGAACCCAGGGCTGCTCTGCCACAGATCTATACCCCAGCCCTTTCCCTTTCGGTTTGAGGCAGGGCCTTAGTATGTTGACCAGGCTGGCTTTGAGTCTGTGCCCTCTTCCCTCCGCCTCCTGAGCAGCTGGGAGGACAGGCCTGTGCCACCTGCCTGGTTGCCCTTTAAGTGATCTTATTGTGAAAAAACTCCTGGAAGACCCAGGGATGTACAGGGGCCTCGGGAGTCTCCAGCTGGGGCTGGTGGGGGCTTCTCGGGAGTGAGTGGGAAGGAGTGCCCGGCAGGGCCTCAGTGTGGGCAGAGGCCTGAGGAGGGCCGAGGGACTGGGCCAGAGGGACAACAGGAGCCCCAGGTGTGGCAGGGAGGGGCTGAAATCTGATTTGGTTCTCAGGTGCCTTATGGGGGGTGGTGTCCAGTGGTCAGTGCTGGCCCAGCAGGCAGGAGGGCCTCGTTCCATCCCCAGCACCACAAAACACAGTCATGCATCAACCCAGGGTGCCTGACCCAGGGGCCAGGAGGGACCAGGTGCCGGGGATGCCACCAGGAGGCAGGGGCCCAGGAGGAGGGGGCCCGGAAAGCCTTCGTCCCTCTGGATCTGATCCCATATCACGGAATGTCAGCTTGGAAGAGAGACGCCTCGGGTCGATAGTTCATGGGGAGCACTCCATCCCCCACAGGGACGCCCAGCCCCTCAAGCAGCCCCCGTCCCTCCAGCCCTGCACCCCAGGTCCAGTCTGTCACTGGTCACAGGATGTGGCCGGTGTGTCTGGCTGTCACTGAGCACAGGTCCTCAGGTCCCTCCACGCGGCAGCTGGGTCACAGGCTCCTGATGGTGGCCCCCAGTGTGGGATATGCTGCAGTGCCCCTGGCTCCTGCCCTGGCCAAGGGAGAGCGCCCTGCAGGCGGCCAGGCCATGTGTGGCACGGGTGTCCATTTCCCGTCTGGGCTCAGGAGGGCTGGCTGGTGGGGACTTCTGGCCTCCAGGCCCCAGGGCCGTGTGCTCCCCGCTGGTGGGGGAGGCTCCATGTGCCTCAGCCTCATCAGCGCTGCTCTTGTCACGAGAGCCACAGGGGCTGCCCGAGTGGTGTCGGTGCCTGGCAAGGCTCTGGTGCCAAGGCCTTGGGTGCTGCGAGGCAGCTGTGACTCGGGGCGTCTCTGATGCCAGCCCAGCTGGGTCAGATGAGTGCAGGCCTGGTTCAGCCCCAGCTGTGGCCCCGTGGCCTGGGGCAGGCACTCCTGGGTGAGAAGGGGCACGTGGCACCCCCACCTGCCCACCCCACCCAGCTCCAGGTGGCCTGCCCCCGTCCCCGCCCCACCCCGGGGACCCCAGACCTGCCACACTGGACTCTGCCTGCTGGGGATGGAAGTTGAGCCGTTTCGTGGCAGCCTGGGGCTCACATCCTGCCTCAGGGCAGTGTGCACCCCACCCTCTGTCCTGGGAGCAGGGACCCCTCCCAGACATTCCTGGCATCCGGGTGCAGGACCCCCGCCCTGGGTCAGGACGAGGTGCCACCCTGGGCAGCTGGTTCCTAGGAGGGGGTGCAGGTCTCTGGTCTGCGGCGGGTGTCGCCCACGGCCAGGGGCCCTTCTAGGGCTGAAGCCTGGTCCTCAGGGAGCACAGCACAGTTGGGAAAGGGTGGAGGTGTGGACCGTCAGATCCCGAGACCGGACGGCCGTCCAGGCACCTATGGGAGGGAAGACTGAATGGCCGACGGCTCACTCAGGGCCCGCCCAGGGCACCCAGAGACCGGAGAGTCCGGAATCCCTGCTGCTCTCACCTCCTGCCCCCAGGATGTGGACCCTGCACACCAGGACCAGACTGCCAGAGTGACGGGGTCTAGCCCTGGCTGCCAGAGTGACGGGGCTAGACGCTTCCCTTTTTAAATTCTCGTTCTTGCCGTCTTTACGATGGAAAGAAAAACCCCGGCCTACTGTGTTGGCTTCTGCTGCTGTGACAGTTTACCTGAGAAAAACAGCTCAGAGGAGCAGATATTTATTTTGGCTCATGGTTCAGGGGTTTCAGCCGCTGGTCAGCAGCTCCATGGCTCTGGGCTGAGGTGGGGCAGAGGGGGAGAGAGGGAAGGGGACGGGTACAGACCAAGGACTCCCTCCCTCCAACTTCCACCACCTCCCATGAGCCCTTCAGCTGTGGGCCCTTCCGGGGATCACCCCAGTGATGGGGAGAGCCCGCAGGTCCACCCTCTTCCTGGAGACCCCCCTCTGCACACTGCTCACTGGGGACCAAGCCCTCAGCACAGGAGCCTTTGGGGGACGTTCCAGGTCCAAACTGTGTCACCTGCTTTGCCAGGTGACTGCACAGGAGCTGGCTGGCTGAAGAATATGGGACAGTTTCAAAATGCAAGATGGTGACGCCCCATCCCTGTCTCCCAGGCTGCCTCAGAGGCAGCTGTGGATTTTCCTCTGTGCACCCGCTGGCTGCGTCCACAGCCTGAGGGCTCTAGCTGTCCGTCAGGGAATCTGCTTCCTGTTGGGAGCCCACTCACACCTCTGTCTCTCCTTGTGCAGTTGTCCACGCCCTGGACGGCACCGCCGAGGACGGCGTCCACCCACTGAGCTCCTCCGAGGTGGACGAGCTCCTCCACAAAGCAGACGAGGCCGCTCTGAGCGAGGCGGGGTCCACAGCTGGGGCAGCCGAGGCCGGGGGGCCTGTGGAGGCAATCCGGTCCACGCCCGCCCGGCGCGAGATCCCTGGTGTGCAGGCGCAGCCTGGCGAGGCCACCTCGGGTCCGCCGGGCACCCAGCCCGGCCAGGAGCCCCCGGTCACCATGATCTTCATGGGCTACCAGAATGTGGAGGATGAGGCTGAGACCAAGAAGGTGCTGGGTCTGCAGGACGCCATCACGGCCGAGCTGGTGGTCATCGAGGATGCGGCAGAGACCAAGGAGCCCGCCCCGCCCAATGGCAGCGCAGCCGAGCCCCCTGGCGCCGCAGGCTCCAGGGAGGAGGACCAGGTGGGGCCCGAGGCCACCACCAGCGACCCCCAGGACCTGGACGTGAAGAAGCAGCGCTGCAAATGCTGCTCTATCATGTGAGCCGGCCCGGCCCCCAGACCCTGGCCCCACCCTCCACACCAGACTCCCGCCAGCCCGGCCCCTCCCGGCACCTGCCCACCCTGCACCCAAACCTCACGGGCCCAGGACCTGCGTGTTGCTTCACGTCCCTTGAGTTTTCTTTCACTGAAGGAGGGACGGGGCCCCGCCTGCCGGCACACCCCGCCCTCAGCCTGGACCCCGAGCCGTGCACTGGTGCAGAGAAACGGGCTGGCCTGCTCTCCCCAGCGAGGACCCCAGACTGCGGCAGCTTCGCCATGTGGCTCGCGCCCACAAGGTCCTGGTTGGTGTGGCCTGTGGCCAGCCGCCTGTGCCTTCCTGCCACCTCCCACAAGTTTCTGAGGGGACCAGGAGCCGAGGGGTCCCGGGGCCTGGTAGTGGGACTCTAAGGGGCCCTGCCAAAGGCGCTGGCCCCCATCCCTGGGCATTTGGGTGAGGCCACGCTTCTTATGGGGCTTGAGGTCTTAGAATGGAGCACGGGCTCCTCTGGACATCCTCAGGCTGACATGTACCCCCACAGGCCCAGCCAGTGGACGATGGCACTTAGGGCGAGGACTGGGGGGATGTGCCCCATTGGGAGGGGTCTGTCACCCCTGAGCTGTCTCCTAGACAGGGAAGGCCGGGGTCTAGGAGCTGCCCCCTGCACAAGGGCCACATGAGCTGCTCTGGTCCTGAGTTTCTGTCCCCCCACTGGGACCTCCTTCCTCCTGGTGCTAATTTGGGGACCCCAGTGGCCGCTCCTGGCCTCCTGTCCAGCCTGCTTGGACCAGGGTCTTGGGTTCCCCTAACCATACCCAAGAAGTCCGCCCCACCTGCCGGCTCTGCTGGGCTTGGAGCATTTCTGGGCCGGGAGGTCTCCCTGGCTGGAGCCGGAGACCCGGTGGGCCACCCAGCCCAGGGTGAGCCTGCTCACCGCCCTCACTGGATGTGGCAGGGGCTCCCTGCCTGGGGCCGGCCCTGCTAGGCCCCGGAGGCACACTCGTGCCCACTCTCACAGAGCCCTCTCCTTGAGTGCTGGCTTTGGCGACCAGGCCTCCAGCCCAGGGCCCGCACTTGGGCCTTCTCTTGGCCAGCGGTCAGCTGCTACAGGGTGACTGCAGGGACCAGGCTGGATGGAGCTTGGGTCCTGGCTGCATGGAGCCCCTCCGGCAGCTGGGAGGAGGGGTTGTCTCTGGGGGTGGCCTGGGCAGTGGCCGTGGGACCCTCTCTTCCTCCCTCGAATCTGCCCGAGCCCCTCGAGCCGCGAGCCTCCGCTCAAGTGCCCTTGCTGCCCTCTGCTTCTGATGTGTGATGAGGCCCCGATGTTCTCGACTTTCCCAGAGAAGCAAATAAACAGTGCGAACAGCCCAGTTCCTGGAGTTCTTGGGTTTCGCCGGGCGCGAGGGTGCGGCCAGCCCAGGGTGGGGCCCTGCCCGGCGGGAGCCATAAAAGGAGCTGCGCAGGGCCAGGGTGAGCTGCTGCCCTCGCTGTCCCCTCATCCGGGGCTTCCCTGGCCATCTTGGTGGGAGGGGGTGATCCCAGCCTCTGCACACCTGTCTGCAGCACCTGGGCAGGTAAGACCTGGAGGTCAGGGGCGGCTCCTGGGTGGCCAGACTTGTTCCTGTTTCCAGGGGGGCCCTTGAGTCCCACATCCACCCTGCCCTGTCCCCTGGCTGGACTCGTGGCCCTCAGAGATGGGGGTCCCCACAGACACCCTGGTCCCTGGGGACACAGCAGCAGCAGGGGGTGCTACAGGGGTCTTCATGCCAGTCAGGTTCCCATGCTGACCCCGGTGCATCTCACCATGAGTTTCGAGAAGTTTCTGGGCCTTTGTTTCCCCACCTGTAACAGGGCTTTAGAATCCCAGGGAGAGGCCAGGCCTGGTCTGCAAGCAGGAGGCGGGGAGTCTGCTGTCCAGTGTGCCCAGCACCCTGGGTGTCCAGTCTTTACCTCCTGAGGCCTCAGTTTCCCCGGGCGTGTGCTATGGAGAGGAATACCTAAGATGGGGTGCCGGGTTCAGATCCGCTCGCCCTTGGACAGGAGGGACACTCTGGGCCTCTAGGTCCTAATCTGCCCAACAGGGAGGAAAGGCCCTGTGTGAGCTGGGGGGCCAGGCGAGGCCTGCACCCTGGTTGGACCTCCGGGCAGCCACCTGGGCTGTGCTGGGCCCTCCAGCACATCTACTTTAAGTCCCCCAAGATGTAGAACCAGGGGTACTGGAAGGAGAGATGATGAGATGAGAGATGAGATTCAGGGGGGCCATGGCCAGCCTTAGGGCTGCTCAGGACAGAGCCCCAGCCTCGAGTCCTGAAGCCCGAGCCCTCTGCACTGTGCCCCAGCCCGCAGACAGCGCTGGGCGAAGAGGTCAGCCTACCCCTGTGATCCGGGCTTCCTGAGGCCCCGTGGGTTCTCTGGCTCCGACGGAGCATCCGGCCTCAATGTGCCCTGTTGGCAGAGGGGCCTCAAGCCCTCGTCCCGTGCTTTGTGTGGACAGGACCACAGGGTCTGTCCCGGCAGTCCTGGGAGAGTAGCAGTGTGCCTTGCCCACTTCCTGGAGGAGAGGAGAGCCAAGGTCCCATCTGGGGCGTGGCCCCCGGACAGGGGCTGGGTGAGTCTCTGACTCTCCACCCACAGCTGGAGCTGGCAGAGGGGCCAGCGCAGCTGCATGCCCCAGGCACAGGGATGGCCCTCAGCAGAGTGGGGTGGGCGGGGGACCTGGGCAGCAGCAGCTCAGTGGCTGGAGGCCCCTGGCCAAAGGGGCAGTTGCAGTGGGCATGATGCCCGCCCTCAGCCCAGCCCGGTGTCGTCTTTCTCCCTCCTCCTCTGGACTTTGCTTCCCGGGCCCAGGCGGGGCTGGGAGGGGTGCACCTGCTTCCCTAGGTGGGGCCTCTGTGCCTGGCAACCTGGCAGAGGGCCGAGCTGAGGCCTCCTGCTCTGAGTGGACGGCCACAGCTGCGGCTGGAAAGTGGCTGGGCTGACAGGTGAGGCTGGGGCCCTGCCTGGGGCGGGCCTGGCGGGGAGGGTTCTGATTGAGGGGGCATGTGTCCACTGTAGTCAGCTTCCCTGTGAGCACCCTGGCCCAGCCGGGGTGGGGCTGGCTGGGGCCTCCCCTCCTGCAGACCGCCCGGGGCCCACTCTGAGGCCTGAAGTCTGTGCCCTGATTCCGATGGGGCTTTGGGATCCCAGAATCCCAGGATCTGAACCCGTGACAGGGAGGAAGCTGGCCAACAGACAACCCCTGGCCAGAAACCCGCAAGCCCCCACTGGCCGTGGGCATTCTGGACCCTCCTGCGTCCAGGTCCAGATGAGGATACAGGGAGGGGCCGGCTGGGCCCAGGTGGGAGCAGGCTTGGCCTGAGTTCCTGGGCTATTCCATCTGGCAGGGCCTGGCCCAGGTCTGTGGCCAGGGCTCAGCCCAGGTCAAGGGACGGGGTGGGGCTTGGCTGGAATTCCACGGGCTGGGGAGGGCCGGGCCAGGAGCCCCTGATGACACTAGCCCCTAAGGGAGGGGACAGGAATTCCAGGGGCCCTCCCTTCAGGTGACCTGTGGGCCCCTGGGGAGCCTTTGCCCCGGGCAGGAGGGCAGCTGCTGTGGAGGAGCAGGTGCAGCCCCGGGGCCATAAACCGGGTTCAGCTGGCAGCACAGAGGCTGGGCAGCGCTGGAGCAGGGACCCTGTGCTTCCCGCAGGGGGCTTGTCGGCAGGGCAGCGTGGGGAGCCGGCCGGGCTCTGAGCCCTGGACCGTCGCTGGGGTCTGACTTTGGGGCAGCGGCTTCCCCTCTCTGGGCTTCTGTCCCTGTCCCCTCCGGTGGAAGCCAGAGACACCATGTTTCCCCTTCCAAGGGCTCTGTGAGGAACAGACAAGACTGAGGACACGGGGGGCTGGGGGCTGAGGACACTCCTCTCTGGGCTCCCCCGGCCCCTCCCC